AGGGAAACCATAATTGCTATTTGTTTGGTTTATCTAATGTGCAGCACATTGTTTAATTCTCCAGATTTACTTTTTAATTTAAATATTTTCCCTCTTTATATTTTTGTTTCTGCCTTTTTGTTGAGTAAGGGCTTTGTAATCTTTTTTGCAGCTTCACCACAAGGTCTGTTAGCAATTATTCCTCTGACTGCTTCATCATGGCAATCCACAAAGAACATCTGTTTCAATTTTAGAGTTCAAATCTCAGAAGGATTGTGCAACCTTTAGAATAGGAGAGTGCCAGAAGAACACTGCATCAGAACAGAGGCATATTTAGAACCTGTGCATGAAATAAAGAAAAATGAATACAGTACTAATTCAGATCCCTTCAAATTAATATATACTTCAATCCCTTTTTTCTCATTTTAAAATAACTCCCACATTTAAAATATGTGGGTAATGGACAATAAATTGTTAACTTTTTAAACCAAGTCTGAGAACCTTGAGTGACAGGGGATTCAAATAGATTCAGGTGAATAGCTGTGTTGGTGTGAAGCAGCAGAACAAAATTTGAGTCCAGTAATACCTTAAAGACCAACAAAGTTTTATTCAAATGGAATTCTACAGTTGAGAGTGGCAGTTAAGAATAACAATTCAGAGTGGAGCGTTAAGGAGAGTTAAGCAGAGTGAGAGAATCAAGGAGGATCCTGAATTAGGGAAGTGGGATGAGTAGCCCTTCTCTGAGGGAAATAGTTCCTAGCTGGGGAAGGGGGTGATCCCTATCAAGAGGTTAAGAAGGAAAATTGGAACTTGTGTGAATGTTTCTGCCTTCACAAACTTAAATATTTTTGAGAGGAAGAAGTTTATGCTTGTTTATTTAATCAGTGACTGCCAAGAGATCTCTTTCCATAGTTTTAAAGACCTGTTTGTATAACAAAATAGCTACTTGATTGTAACAAGCTATCTGTCGCTTATATTTATACAAAGTTACTTCATTCCTGTTGCCTGTTCACCTTCTAAGTCCTAAACCTGATACCTGTCTGATGATTCCTTCTCAAAATCGGAATAAAGTAGTTTGTTAGTTTTGAATTACCATTATCAGGCAAAGACAAAAAAAGGATTTTAGTCATTCCCTGAGTTCCCTAGGCAAGGTCAGCATTTATCTATATACATTCAAACAACTGGGTGAGACAGAGAAACAAAGAAGAAAGAAAAGGGGCTGCTCAGCCAAGAAAAAGATAAAGGGAAGCGAGAAATTGTTATAATGTGTAATGCTAAATAATTTGCAGTGTTGTAGTTTTAATACCAGTGCTCTATTCTTTCTGCCTTTCTAAAATGATACGTTATATTTTGTTGGTGCTCAGGAGTTCAGTGGACCTTGATCTCGTACTAGCATCTGTGGTAGTTTCAGGGCTACTTAATGCATGACAAGAATCAGGGTCTGAAATCCATTTTGTTGAACAATGTTAGCTATGCCATTTCAGGGCCAAAAAAATGTACCAGGTTAACAGAGGATGGGAAATTCCTAGAAATGTGAGGATTGGAGCCTGGGGAGGGCAGAGTTTGGGAAAAGGAGGATCCTCTGTGGGATATAGTACCCTGGAGTCCACCCTCCAGAGCAGCAATTTTCTCCAGGAGAACTGGTCCCTGTAGTCTGGAGATCAGAACACGAGATCTCCAGGCCACCCCTGGAGTTTGGCAACTCTAACTGTGTACACCTTTAAAGTTTATGAAGAAGCCCTCTTTTGCAAGTCAAGTTGACTGGAATGTGTCACTGGTAGCTTTGTGCACAGTTTAAATGTTTGTCAAGAACACCTCAAAACTTCTTTGGATGATTGCACAGGAGAAAATGTCCATGGCATTTCCAAGGTCATGTAGCTGAGTTCTTGGCTTGCTAGTAATGGAGGCTGCTGACAGACAGGGGTCAGATTTCAATCTTCTTTTCATTTTCCCTCAGGTCAATTTTGTTGCTTGTCAGCTCTTTGCACTTTTGGCAGCATTTTGGTTTCGTCTGTACTTAAGCCCTAGTCGTGCCAGTTCTGGTGTCCGCCATGCGTTTGCCACAGTTTTTGGAATATCTTTTGCTGTTTTCTGCTTTGGTTGGTGAGTATTTGTATTCTGCATAATTCTGCATTTCATTAAAGCTGCTTATGTATTTCATGATATGTTTTTAAGGTTATTTGTGTTCCATCTCAAAATAATTTGCATCATATATGCATGCTTTGGCTCCTTCCACATGGCAAGGTTTCTCCATGTTGTTTTAATCACTTCTATGAATGCATGGGCATGTGTATTGGCGTCAGAGCTTCTACACAATTTCTTCCATCTTTTCCCCAGCTTTTCCCTTCCACACATGTTCAGCAACTTTACATCAGCTCTCAGGGACATGGTTGTTGTGGCTGGTGTTGTGACTGACTGCCCCCTTTTTTGGTCTTTTTTTCTTTACACATCTGCTATAGCACTATAACAGTTTTGTTAACTATTTCCATTTCAAATTTTACGTGCCAATAGGTTATTTCAGTGCTATAATAATTATCAGTTGTGGGTTTTTAAAAAACAACAACAACAACAACAAAAAGCTCTAAAACACTTTGGTGGCATGGCAGGAAAAAAATTCTGGGAAAATGGTGCCCATGAGATGCTAAGAGCAGGAAATTGAACGAATGTGGACAGGACCTTTCCAAGGCAGGAAGTTGCACACTATTTGTTACCAGTGCTAATGTTCTTGGACTGTCTTCTTCACAAATGATTGGAGTAAAGCAAGTCTGAGAGAGCATATTGAGATCAAGGAAAACTTGGAAACAAAATGAGTGTAGCAGCACTACATCTTGTGGAAGCTCTGTTCAGAGCCAGCACAGTGTAGCGCTTAAGAGCAGTGGACTCTAATCTGGAGAACTGGGCTCGATTTCCCCCCTCCTCCACTCGAAGCCTGCTGGGTGACCTTGGGCCAGTCACCATTCTCTCAGCACTCTCTCCACCTCACCTACCTCACAGGGTGTTTGTTGTGGGGAGGGAAGGGAATGTGATTGTAAGTCACTTTGAGACTCCTTAATGTAGAGAAAAGCAGGGTATAAAAACCTACTCTTCTTAAGAAAAAAGTGCTCAATTTCGGAAGCTAAGGTGGAAAAACTTCCACAATGAAGCAGCTTTTAAAGCAACTTGTGAAACAGCAAAAATCTTTAGAACATTTTTAAGGACAGCATTTGATCAATAAAGAGTTGATTTAGAGAAATATGCTTCTGGCATTTCATTTCTGTCTTAGGAGGTAACTGGTTGACTTCATTCATTTTTTCAAGTTACAGCAGGGCTGGTGGTAGAGGGATTTCATGTTTCCTGACCCTCCCTTTCTATGCACATTGAGTTACTTGAAAAAAAGTTCTGTTATCTCGCATTGGTATTTGAATGTGATTATTGTTTTGCTTCCCACATTCAAGGTACTCCATCCATATTTTTGTGTTAGTGATATTGAGCTATGGTGTCATGAATATGGCCAGTATTCCCAACATTCATAGGTAAGGTTATGTGGCTGCAACAGTTTGTCTCTACTGAGTATTCTTGCCATTTTCTTGCCTCCTTTCCTCAAATCCCCTCAAATTAATGGTTGCTTAATTTTTGCTTTTTCTGTCCAACCTCTGAATGTCCATGACTAATATGCTTTGGAGATGCCAGAACAATTATTTGCATGCGCTTTTTGGATACGAAGTCACAGGGAAAATATAGCCAGTTGAAAGAGTTAGTTGGACAGCTTGACACATCAAGAAATAAGCCCACAGGTCCCAAGACCCTTTCACATGCCAAAGAATTTAGCTGTTGCTCCTTTTCTTCCATTCTCACAATTCATCACGTTGGGCTGGGAGCTGGGGTTTGTTGTTGGGGGGGGGGGGGTTTTACCGGGCTTCCCGGTCAAAACCTCATGTAATTAAATATGATTGATTCTAGGTACTCCTTTGTAGTAGCTATGGGATACCTCACTGTGTGTCATGTTAGCCGGATATACATATTCCACTATGGTATTCTCACGACAGACTTCTCTGGGTAAGTAGTGATAACACTTTTATTGATAACACTACGTCAAGTGCAGGAAAGCATATACCTTGAATAAACCTTTGTTGGTCTTAAAAGTGCCATTGGACTCAAAGTTCGTTCTGCTGCTTCAGACCAACATGGCTACCCACCCGAATCTAACTTGTTCCTGTCAGTTTGCTGTCTCATCCCTCACTAGTGCAGGCTTGGGTGGACTTATTCCCAGATTCTATCCACTCAAACCTTTATTATTCCTGCTGGGAACCCTGGTGCAACGAGGTAGGTAAGAAATTGTGTGACAGAAATTTTGCTCAGAGGACTACATAGCTTAGAGGGAGCATTTTTTCTTACTTTGTAACAATCCTCTCATGTTGCAAATAGTGGCCTTGGAATAAACAGATACCTGATGTGGGTAACCTCTGGTTGCTAAATTCTGTTTGCCAAATAGTAGCCTCCCTAGGGAAATCCTGTACATCAGTACAGATCAGTACAACTTCTCATGTAGGTCACTACAGTTTCACATGATCTTGGAAAACTGGCTTTATGGCAGATTGTTCAAATGGAGTGGATGGCAGTTATGAGTTCTAAGAAATTGTTGGTGGTGGGTTTCTTATATAACAAGAAGATACCATCAATAAAATGCCACTAGGTAATGATAAATGCCACAAAAGATTAATGATAGAATGTACAAAATATTCTTCAAAATGCCTCGTATACAAGTTGGCTGTTGTGACGGACAAGCTAAGTTTAGCCTCTCCCTAAGAGTAACCAATGAGTGCCGATGGAATGATTGGAGAGACAGCTGGAAAACAGCAGTCAAGATCAGCAGTTGGGAGTTGGCAGCTGGGGAGCTTAGAGGGGGAAAGAAAGAAGTCTAAACTGTGCAGAAGAGCTGCTTTGAGCAGGCTGAAAATAGTCAATTTGTAACTAAAGGATCCCAGTTGCAGGAATGGGACCCAAGCTGTAGCCACAGGGGAGATTTTGAGGGCAGTGCCTCCCACGTATGACCCCGACCTCTCCCTCACCCCCGACCCCCAGGAGCACTGTCGGCAAAACATATGTGCCTGCCTGCCTCCTCGGCTTTCCCTCGGCAGCAGCATAGTAGCTGGGCTGGCTGGCTCAGGCACAGGCACAGTGAGGCGCCAGGACGGGCAACCATGCTGCTGCTGAGGGAGGGTCAAGGAGGCAGGCAGGGCAGCCCCTGTTTCTGCTCTTTCTGCCCATCTCGGTGCCTGTTTCTGCTCGCCGCCCATTGCCTGGAACGATGCAATGGAGGCTGCAAGAGTGGGGAGGGTAGCTGCACATGCATTGGGGATGTGCAAATCTCCTTTTTTCCCTCTCTCGTTCCTTTTCTACCCCCCCCCCTTTTTGTGGTCCCCAGGGTGCATGTGCACAAGCTCCTGGGAATGGACAGTTGCTGCTCAGGCCAAGTTGTGGGGGAGTGTTTGGAAGGGAGTGGGAAAAAAGTTACTGCCCCCTCTTTGCACCCCGGATCTGACAGGACCTCAGTTCAAAAGTTCAATGGAAGCAAAATGTTACTTATATCTTACTTTCTTCAGTTATGTTTGTACCATAAATAAAAAGTTAATTTCTCAAAAACTCTGTGTTTGAGGGCTTATTATTAAATGGGTCTGGGCTACCCTGTTGGTGGATGTCTCTGTGACTGAGAGAGAGGACCTGAGGTGTGAAATGGCGGTGGTGCTCTGTAGATTTTAAAAGAGACAAGAAGGATGGCGAGTGTGACATCCTGATCTACATGTAACCCATAACCTGACAGAGAGAGAGGTTTAAGAGGGTGGTAGGCACTGTGTGTGAGTGGAGAAGGGGCATCACAGCTACCTCTTCAGAACAGGCAGAATTCTGAAACTGGAGTCCTTAGATGGCTGAATATCCAGTCGTATTATGCTATGGAAAGGTAGTCAGGGCCAGTTATTGGCATTTCACAACTGGTTTAACATGCAGGATGAGAACTTTAGGTCTGAATTGCATGCAAATGATAAGAGTTTGGAAGACATGGCATGTAAAAGTGCAGCCAAGGTGTCCTGTACGGCACAGTCTTACTAAACTACAGATAACGCTGGGGGCAGCACACAAGGTATGGTGAGGATTTGGCTTGATCCCCTTGGTCTCTTCCTGTCTGCCCAAGCCTTCACCAATTTTGGGGAAGGAGGGGGTAGAGAAACTAAAGTGGCTGGTGGAAGGTGAGCTGCAGTGGGAGTGGGGGGAGATAACCAGAGCAGGCTAGAGGGAAGCAAGCGGGGGGGGGGTTATAGTGGGGAGGCAAATTCAGGCAGGGGAGGGCTGTGCAGGAAAAGACGAGCCAGAGATGTGTGGGAAGTCAGAGGCAGCAGTGAGGAGGTGCAAACAGGGTTTTCCCTTTCTCACAGGCCCTCCTCTTGCAGTAGCTATTTATACAGTATACTTTTTCTTAATCGTTCTAGTTGTTCAGCAATTAAAATATTACCTAACTTTTGTCTGGTTTTGTATTTAAAAAAACCCAGAAGTTGTAGTAGTGGTGCTTTCTTTAATTGCATATCTTATTCTTTTATGCCAAGAGGATTATGTTGGTAAGTTGTTCCTTTGTGCATTTTTAAATGTTTCATGATTTCTGCCATGTTTGATTTCAAATAATAAAAACTTACAGTTGTGAGGGACAGTTATTGATGCTGCAACAAATGTAGCAAAACAGAGACTCCCTAATCTAGATTCAGCATCCTGCCTCCTTTCTTCTTGAAGAAATAGGCATGTTGTGCTTCCATCTTGTTACATATTGGAGGTAGGGAGGGGAAAATACAGCTCACCAAAACTAGTGGTCATCTTAGAACATTGTTGATGGCACTTCGTTTTTATCATTTTTGATAGTATTTTGCTGTTATTGGGCAGCTTTTATCAAAATATTTCATGCATTTATATTGCTTCTATTTTCACCAAAATTGTCTAATGCAGTTAATTGTTATTATGGTTTACACATGAAAAACTGGACATAGTTGAGCTGCACTTTTTTACTCTACTGTAAAATGCAGCACTGGAAGTATATGGATAGTATCTGCTACCGCTTATTTCTGTAAATTACCATTTAGCAGCACGATCTATTGCATGAATGTGTGTCCTGTGTGGCAACACTAACTGAGTTGTAATGAATTTGTCACAAAATTTACCTTGATCTTCAGACTGTGAGTCTGAACTTGAATGCATCTTAATTTCCAAAAGAACCTGGCAAACCTCCAAGAGAAGGGATTGAAATAGCCGATAAGAATACCTTGCTATTAGACCTTGACTTGGTTATTACATTTTCCTGTTAAAAAGGACATTCTCTGAACCACAGTGTGGCATTTGGGTGGATGTTAGATCCCCAAGCATGAGAATAGATCCACGTTCAAAAGTAAAGCAAGATTTATTTCAAAGACATGGTTGATCACGAACACACAGGAATTGATTGGAATGACATTTGTCAGCAGTACAGATATAATAAAGGGATTTTGAACAAGGTTTGGACCAATGGTCCCACTTCCCGCTGGAAACGGGGAGATTAGAAAGGGCGCGAAGTTACATGAGAAAGTAACGCCCGGTTTCCTAAACACAAGTTCCTTTCACACGGGTAAAGCTAAACAAGCATGAGCGCGAAGACATAACTCCCACTTCTCACCAGCTGGCGACCTTGGTTAAAGCAATTGCCTAACAGAGAAAACACTTCAACAACACAAGGTGGGGGGGGGAAGGAAGGGACGTGAAATGACCCAGCAAAGAGATGGCAGCTCGCTGACATACTGCCCACCCGAAAATACACCTTAACCACCCCCTCCCGGCCCCGGCGGGAGACCTCCCGGATTCCCCGGGAGACCTCCCGGTTTGTCCGGGAACCGCTTGTGGAAGCGCCGAATCAGATAAGGGGCCCTAATATCCCCTACTTCCACCCATTCGCGGTGCTGGGGTCCGAAATCCACCCATTCAATCAGATACCATAGTTTACCACGCTTCCACCTAGAGTCCAAGACATCAGAGACCTCAAAATGTTCATCACCTTCAATCAAAACGGGTGGAGGTTGCACCTGAGATGCACGCCATTTACATTGGCCAGTATC